TGTATCGCTCCATGTGGCGATCTCCTTCGCCAAATGCCATTGCTCCTCGCGATCAGTGGCGATCTCGGCCAAGAGCTTCTTCAACTGCGACTGGGGGATGCCGCTTGGGATCTTGGGCAGCAGCAGCACGTGGTTTCTGATCTGCTCGTCGTCACGGGGACCAGCACCCTTCTCACGATAAGACGGGGTCTCTGCAGTTTTGTAGTAGTCCTGCAGTGCGACCTTCACCACCTTCAACTGCGCGGGCGTCAGCGTACCCTTTCGCCCCTTCGGGGCCATTGCAGCTGCAGCACGCGGCACGCACTGACAGTGAGAAGAGCGAGCAGCCCGAAACCAGCAAAGGGTTTGAGCAACATGCCAATGAGAAGGCGCCGACGAAGGCCTCCGAATCACATGGCGCCATGTCCTGGCTCAGAATGGTGCTCTCGTTTTGAGTGTTGTTGTCACTGGCCGCTTTCCTACCTCATAATCGTGCTCTCGCCTCGTCGCTGACTACATTTCCCGTTCCGAACGCCCCCATTCCCCCTTCATACGTCCCTTATCTCTTTTGATTATCTTCGTACGGAGTTCCTTCCCCTATTGATTGGTTCATTGTCCCTCTCTCGTCTTACATATTGCTCATTTCCTTTGTTCCATGTTTTCATCCCCCATGTCTCCCCTGCAGACCCAGCCCGCTCAATATTCAAGCGCACTATATACGACACTGCTTGATCGGGAACCCAAACCTACCATCTAAGTCATATTTTCTGACATATGTACTAGCAGGATCTTATAATTAGATCCATATATAACATAATAAGATCCATGACAACATAACACTCCGGATCTTATTATAAGATCCTGCCAACCTCAGGGGACGGTCGTAGCGGCCCGGGTTGTTCATGACCCACGTGTCGCAGCGATCCAAGAGCGACTGCGCAGACGAGGAAGAATCGGCCCTGTCCATCTGGGACCTCCAGCGCCTCCTTCCGCGTTGCCCTCGTGTAAGCTAATGCCACGAGAGGGTCTGGCGTAAAGTGCACACCAGCGCCATATCTTCCACCCTGACGGGCCTCCATCATCTCAGAAGGCTGGGGGCGCGCCCGGCAATTCCTGAGTCCGCGGAAGAGCAGGGTCAGGCGCTCCCCCTCGAACGCCACGCCCGCCCACTCGGTGGCCGACAGAGCGCGAGGTCGGACCTGGACCTGGAACTCAGCATCGCCGCAGCGCGCAATCCACGCCCGCATCCGCGGGCCCGGCGGGATGCATCTCCTGAGCAACTCTTGCGGTACGGCCACCCTTCGCGGGAAGACTGCGGTCTGGGTTCTCTTCTCAGCAGGCAGGCGAGCCACCCGGGCCTTGGTCCGCCCTCCCGCGGCCGCCGCGGCTGAGCGCGCGGCGGCCGGCCTCTTACGAAGAGCGCCCTTTCGCCTCGCTTTGGAAAAGGAAGCGTTTACTGCGGCAATGAACGCCCGCCGGCTTTCTCGAGCACAACGTTTCTTTCCACAAGTCTTCAATGCTCGATTATTGGCCCCGCGGGCGCACGGGTTCGCGCAGTGCGGGCATTTCCCCATTGGGGAAAAAAGGCCTGAGCCAAAATGTCAACGTGACACAGAGGCCTACCCGGCGGGGGGCGGGCGGGCGGGGGCGCGCGAGTGGCAGCGCGCGTGTGTGCTGTCCGCTTTAGAAGACATGTTTGAAGATTATTCGCGAGTGGCCGCTGAGCGGTTCCTGGACATTCGCGGTAGTAGCGAAAGAATGCCCTGGACAACGCCGAAGCGTGTCCGACACACTTGACAGGTCGAAAGACCATCCGTATCACTGAGGCTTCTTGTAAGGTTACTGGGACACACGATTCTGAGAGAAATTCCTGAGTTAAATGCAAGGTTTCCTCGAGGGCCGAGCGAGAGGTGACGTTTTCTGTACAATGGATTCGAACGCCCCCGGCGGCGGGGCGACTCCGGGGGACCAATGTGCACCCTTCGGTGTTGCGGGGGTCCTTTCTTAAGGCTTAAGGTTTGCGTGGGTCGTGAGACTTATGAGAAGACTTATGAGGAGACTTATGAGGAGAGGACTTATGAGACTTGACAGCTTTATGAGAAGAAGACTTGTGAGACTTTGATGAGAGCGAACGACCCGACTGCGAAGCAGAAATATCATGCCTCGCGCGGCTGAACGACCCGACTGTGAAGCAGAAATATCATGCCTGACTGTGAAGCAGAAATATCATGCCGCGCGCGGCTGAACGACCCGACTGTGAAGCAGAAGTATCATGCCTAGTGCGGCTAAACGACCCGACTGTGAAGCAGACCCAATCATGTGGAGCAGACCCGATTGTGAAGCAGACCGAATCCTGTGCATCACGTCAAAAACCTCCCCGGCCTGTGACCCCTTGGGGGAGGAGGAAGGGGAGAAGGGAAAGAAAAAGAGAGGGAAGGGAAAAGGGGAAGGGGGAGAGAGAGAGGGAAGGGAGAGGGAAGGGAGAGGTAGGAGCCCCCCAAGTACGATCGGAGCATTGTTGTCTTGCGCCCTTCGGCGTTATGAGTCTTTGTCCTGGCTCCAATAACGATTCAAGAGGTTTGAGACAAGCCGTATTCTAAGGTTTTGGCCTGCTCGCAGGCACCTGCCCGAGGTGGCCCCCGCGTCCCGGTGAGTTGAGCAGGGCCTGCCCGACCGGTCCGTGCCTGCTGGTTCGTGAGGCTTCTTTTTCCACATTTTTTCCACGTGGCGGACTCCGGATGGGCGTCCCTGCGCTGCAATGAATTGTAAGATCGCCTTGAGAAAGTTGCGAGTAAAGTTGTGAGAGACGTTATAAGGGGGTTATAAGGTTCCTGCAGAGAAGGACATGTAGCGCACTTCGGCTGGGGATGGGGAGATTGGAAGAACGGGGAGAACGAGACGAAAGGAGAGAGAACCAGGACGGGGAAGGGGAGAAGGGGGACGCGAGGAAGAAGAAGAGGAAAAGGAAGAATAACAAAAGAGAAGAAGAGAAGAAGAAGAAGAAGAAGAAGAAGAAGAAGAATAAGAAGAAGAAGAGGAAGAATAACGGCGAGTCAGCATGCACGGTCTCTAGCCCCTTGGACACACACACGCACACGCACGCACGCACGCACGCACGCACGCACACACACACACACACATACATGCACACATATACTAACGCGTCACAAAAATTCGTCATGCTTTAAGGGGGCGCCAAGATATCAGGTTTCGTCCGGTATTTCCGCGCGAGCGGGCGGGCGAAGGCTGACCCCTGTGTCGACCGCGCCAAGCTGCCCTCCCTTTTCCCCCTAGCGTCCAAGCGGGCTGGGTCAAGAGCGGTCGGAAAAAATATCCGGAATTTCTCAATCTGGCATTTCCTATAACGGATAATCTGGAAATCCCGACGTAACAAAATACGGTTTTAGAAATCCACCAGGCGTGGTCCTGCCCTGCCGACGCAAGACGATTCAATCTCAGTACATGACGAAACTCTTGCAACGCCAATGAGAGATCCACGATGGAGACGCATCATCGTTCATCGTCCCAGGTCATCGCACTCACCCCCGCGCATCATCCGTCACTGCCGCCTGCCACGCCGGAGTACCAAGCACTCGATGCTCGCCTCGCGGCGCCTGAAATACCGCTGAGGGGTCCACGATGGCGACGCAACATCATTCATCGTTCCATGTCATCGCGCTAACCCCCACTCATCATACGCCACTGCCGCCTGCCACGCTGGACTACCAGGCACTCGATGCTCGCCGCGAGGCGCCCGAAATACCGCTACGCCGTTACAGAAATTAGTCATGTTTTATGGGAGGACAAGATGCTGCAGGTTTCGTCCGTTGCTTCCGCGCGAGCGGGCGGGCGAAGGCTGACCCCTGTCCCGACCGCGCCAAGCTGCATCCCCTGTTCCTCCTTAGAATGCTCGCGGGCTGGATCAAGAGCCCGTCGGGTCAAAAATCTGGGATTTCTCAATCCGGGATTTCCTCCCACAAAATAAATCGATAATAACGGAATCTGTTGAAATCCCGACGTAAAACACGGTTTTAGATCAGGCGGGGTCCTGCCCTTCCAAGGCAAGATGATCAAATTCCAATTCATGACGACACTCTTGCAACGCCAATGTGGGATCCACGATGGAGACGCATCATCATTCATCGTCCCAGGTCATCGCACTCACCCCCGCGCATCATCCGCCACTGCCGCCTGCCACGCCGGAGTACCAGGCACTCGATGATGCTCGCCGCGCGGCGCCTGAAATACCGCCACGCCGTTACAAAAATTCGTCGTGTTTTCTGGGAGCGACAAGATGCTGCAGGTTTCGTCCGGTACTTCCGCGTGAGCGGGCGGGCGAAGACTGACCCCTGTCCCAACCGCGCCAAGCTGCCCCCCCATCCCCCCTGGAATGCTAGCGGGCTGGATCAAGAGCGGTCGGATCAAAGATCTGGCATTTATAAATCGTGGATTTCCTCCCATTATATACGAACGTATATAACGGGGTATTTTCAATTCCCAACGTTGCAAAAAAAAACGGACGTAGATATCCCACCGGGCGGGGCCCTGCCCTGCCGACGCAAGATGAGTAAATCTCAATTCGCGATTAAACTTTTGTAACGCCAATGTGTGCGTACATACATGTATGTATATATGTTATGTATGTATATATATATACATATATATATGTATATATCAGAGTGAGGGGGCTGAACCGAACGGTCATTCACTGTCCCTGGGTGCGTGGCTGAAGCGAATTCCGCGATGCGGATTCTTGTTGTTGTTTGTTGTTTGTTGTTGCCGTCGTCCCACCCGCGACCCGCCCAACGACCCACCCGCGACCCACCCCGCGACCCATCCGCGACCCACCGGCGACCACCCGCGACCCACCCGCGACCCACCCCGCGACCCACCCGCGACCCACCCGCGACCCACCCGCGACCCACTGCGGGAAGCAGATTTTCCCACCGCTTCCAGATTATCGAAACATATAATTTGGAATGGGTGAGTGAGTCCTTTATGTTCAGCTAGGTTAGCGAAAGGGCCACAGGGGGGAATGTCTTGAGAGGTGCGGCGGATCTTCCTGGCTGCTGTTCGCCGCCACATCTGCTCAAGTTCAAGGCACAATGATTCACTGAGCAACAGAGAAGTGGTGCCATCCGCAGGCGGCCTCCTGTCTCCACGCGGACGCCTCCAGACACAGGCGACCGCTGTCTCCCTGCGATTGGGACTGAGGACGGCCCCGCGACGCTCGCTCCCACGGCCGTGGCAGGGCCTCAGGGAGGTTGGGCGTGGGCCGTCTTGTGGGTGACGATGACGACCGCCTCGACCATCGGCTGCATCGTGGCGCAGCTGACCTCGACGGGCCGCAGCCTGGTGATGTGCCTCACGACGAGCGTCTTCCTCGTCATCCCGTCGGCGTACTGCGCTGTGCGCCAGGGCTGGCGTCTCCACTGCGACCAGGTGGCCGAGGCCCAGCAGCTGGAGCAGGCGATCGAGCAGATGCAGGCGCTGCACCTCGGAGGCGGCGCTCGCGTGCCAGGTCCTACTGCCCCGCCTGGCGCCGAGCTGCCATGGGAGACGACCGCGGACGGCGGCCCGCTAACCCCAAAAATTCCCGAAATGCCAGGCGTGCTGGGCCCTGTGGCTCTTCCGGGCGGAATCGCGTCCGCGCGACCGCCTCCTCTCGCCACGTCCCCGTCGGGCGGGCGCGGTGCATGCTCCCGCGCGGCGCGGTTCCTGAAGGCCACCAGGAGGCCCCCAGGAAGCTCCCAGAAGGCCCAAAGACTCTCCCAAGAGGCTCCCAAGAGGCCTCCTCCTCCTCCTCCTCATCATCATCAGCATCATCATCATCATCATCATCATCTTCCTTTTTCCGCTATCTCCTTCTCTTCTTCTCCTTCTTCTTGCTCCTTCACGTGTTCCCCGAAAGGCTTCCAATTTCAACAACGGCTGTGGGAACACGTGCCATACGTAGCTTGGCCGGGTTTTATCCGCAACGTACTGCAACATACGCGGTTCCAAAAGGCAGGGGGGCGGCGGTGATTCACAGTAGACGTCTTCGATACATACACTGTACTTTTCGAGCCTGCGGAAGGGCGTGATGACCGCCTTCAGACTAGAGACAAGAACTGTCACAGCACACGACTACATCGGGTGCAGCGCTGGCACGGTGGCGGGACTTGCACGGGCATCTTGATAGGAGAGACATAGCGGGCCATGAAGAAAAATATCGTCTACTGACAAAAGGACAATGCAATACGATATGGCTGACACATGAAAAGCTGAACTCGGGGATCGGGAGCAGAGGTAACAGGAATGGAGCAAGAACATCTTGCTGTGCAATAGCGTGCACTTGAAAAACATTTGGGTGAATCAAAAAGACGGCCAGGCAACTGCCAGTTCCGAGAACGATGCCGCAAACAGATACAAGATGGAGGACTGTCGCGAGGGAACGGGATAAGATTGAAAGAGCAATAACATGTGGGAAAGGAAATGGAAACGGAGAGCCTGGTACGTCAGAGAGGTCTAAGGCAACGAATCATCTTATGGAGGAGTAAGAACACACCGATACCCATCACATCAGTTCATGCGTATGGATACACATGCACTTGTTTACACCTATATGTAGCGTGCACAAGCGTGCGCGCGGACATGAATTCTCGACGGCGGCGTTTTCTTGCCAGAGGTGCGAAAGCGGGGAACACGAGGGTTTTCGCACCCCTACCAAGACCCCCCAAGTCTGGCCAAACGAATTGCGCTCCCCCGAAATATCCCCCGCAACATCTCAGCTTGACTTAAGTTCAACGACGTTCTGGCTAGCGACCATCTGCATGGTCCCATTCATGTATCTTAATTGCCCGAGACCCCCCCTCCCCACCCAAAAAACTGACACCCCGAATCCCAGGCCCCTGGGACCCTCTGGACCCCCCGGCTCCGTGCCCCCCCCCCCTCCCAGGCGTTTCAGAGCTCCTGGAAGCCTTTTCTGGACCTAGGCGCCCGAATCGGTCAGGAGGGCGGCCGAAAGCTCCCCCGAGGGCCCCAAGATGCCCCAGACACCTACCAGACGCCCGAAGACGATCCAAAGAGGACCCCCAAGACGCTTCCAATACGCAGAAGAACCATTGATTGTCCCAGGTTTGCGCATGATTTGGGGAATGCCCTGTTCTTCGGCCTTCTGGGCGTCCGAGACCGCCTGGGAGGCCCGAAAATCGCCCCAAAACCATCCGAAAGGGCTTCCACGCAGTCCAAGAGAGCCTCAAGACGGCATAACAGGGTTCCAAGATGGCCTAAGAGAGAAACATGACGGCCCAAGATGGCCCCAAGACACCCTCCGAAGCATTCCAAATCGTGACTCAGCCGTTCAGGGAGACCGCGGTTGGAGGCAGGGTGGCCCGAGGAAGCCCCCGGAGGCCCCGGGAAAACGCCCAGCCAGAAGGCCTTGAGGAAGCCTGAAAACTTCCGTGAGACCCCCAGAGGCTCTCCAAGGAGGAGCCTCCTCAAAAAGAGCTGAGGGTTGGGGGCGAGAATGAGAAAAAAGAAACATGGAGAAAAGACTGCACACCACATTAATGTAACGGCGACGCCGGGAAAGGCAACACGGAGACATCGTTAAATTGTCTGTTTGACCTTCCTGCAATTCCGCCTGCATGCCAAACTTCAAGGACCAAAGTGCATGGCGCGAAGCGCCAATGCAGTCGTGTGTATATATATGTATATATATGTATACATACATACATACACATATGCACACATGTGTATATACACATGTATTATCTGTGTATGTACAGCGTCATAACAAACATGTATGCTAGAATCACCCGCGCTGAGGGTCCAGCCTCCTTCGAGGAGCCTTCCAAGCAATTGCAGGGAGACCCTGGCGTCTTGGGGTGTTTGAGGCTGAATCGCTTTCGAGGCCCTCTGGAGCAAACAATTGCGGAATCCCAAAAACACCTCAAACCTCAAACCCCACGGGGTTCCACATACCCTTGGGGGCTACACCCAGGTGCAAGGAGTAATAATTGGGAAACTCCGATCTGCCCAGGACGGGCAAGTGCGTATTGAAGATGACGAAACCGATAAATATTTGGTCGGTGTCCCGTTGTTGTCCCATGGTTGTCCCGAATTTGTCCCGTGGTTGTCCCGCTTTTGTTCCATGGTTTTTCCGAATTTGTCCCGCAATTGTCCCGTGGTTGCCCCGTGGCTGTCCCGTGGCGTTCCTGGGATTTTCCCGCGGGTGTCTTGTGGTTGTCCCGCAAGTGTCCTGTGGTTGTGTCGTGTGGTTGTGTCGTGATTGTCCCGTGATTGTCCAAAGGTTGTCTCGTGGTTGTCCCGCGGTATCCCCGTGGCTGTCCCGTCTAGAGTTAGATACTGAGACCCATGTGTATCTGTCTAGTTGTATCGATAGGTTCAGTGACGATGAGATCAGTGGGCAGATGGATAGCGAGACCGACACATAGTGAAGGAGACTGAACTTTGATAATGGGATGACTGGATGGATAGTGAGGCAGACAACAATATGGGGATATCGGCGTGCGAACATGGATACAAGTATTCGTATTTATCTTCATATTTGTATGTGTATATACATATATATATATATAGATATAGATATGTATATATATATATACACACCTGTGAAATTGCACACATACATACACAATTTTCGAGCGTCAACGGGCCAACGAGTCGCCATGCCGTCAGACACGCGCGCGGGGGCCGAGCGCGCCGGTCAGCTGGCCCCCCACGGGGCAGTGGAAGCAGCAGTGGAAGCAGCACCCGGGCCTGCGGAAGCCGAGGCGGCGGGCAAGGGCCCAAGCAAGGTGCCCAACAGACGAGTAACGGCCGAGGCAGAAGCCAGGGCAAAAGCGAGGGGGGCGAAGCCAGGGGGGGAGAAGGCGCCTGAGGGGTCAAGAGCGGGCTCGCCTCCCGCGTGCACCGCGCGCGAGTTTTTCAAGGCGTGCCATCTGTTCTTGACGCGTGAGAGACTACTGCCTGAAGCTGAAGGCGCCGGGTTCCTACTGAGACATGCGTCCCTGCCAACAGCGCCCGTCGCAGCACCCACAGACTCAGGGCTGGTGGCCCCTTTGGGCTGGAGTCAGGGCCTCCATAACGCCCACGGATCGCGCGGCCCCTTCTAAACTGTAGCTGACGGCGCAGCGTCCCAGGCCCGCCTAGGCCTCAAGCGTTCCAGTCCCGCGGTGGGGGGTCGCCACGAGGGTCGGGGAGGTGAGCCGTGGAGCCGAGCGGGGTCTGGGTGGATGTCGAAAGCGTCGTCATGGGATAAGCCCGAGGCGGCGTCGCATTGCGGGCGGCGTCGCAGTGCGGGCGGCGTCGCAGTGCGGGCGCGGACACGGGGAGAGAATGGCATCGGGGGCGTCGTCGGAGGTGGTGCCTGGGGCAGCGCCTGAGTGAGAGCTGGGACCCGAGTGCGGCGTGGCGTCGTCGCCTTCGTCGGGAGCGGCGGCGTCGGAGGCACCGCCGGGGGCGGCGCGGCAGGCTGGGTTAACGTCAGCCCCTCGTGCAACTGCACAGGGGGGCCCCCAGAGCGTCCAGAGGCAGCGCCGGCGCAGTCGCCGGGGGAGGATTCGCAAGTAGCGCCGGGGCGGGGGGCGTCGGCCCAGGGGTGGCCCGGCGTCGCGGGCGTCGCAGGCGTCGTCGGGGGAGCAGCCGAACGAGGCGTCGTAAAAGGGGCGTCGGCCCAGGGGTAGGGGCGGCGTCGGAGCCAGTCGATACCGATACCAGCTTAGGAGGCAACATTGGGATGGAGGCTCCACTCCTGGGGAGGAACAGCATCACAGGCAAGACCCCGTCGCAGACACACACACACACATATACATAAACACACACAGACACAGAGACACAGACACACTGAGACACTGAAGACACATAGACACAGAAGACACAGACACAGACACAGACCCGCCCGCCCGCCCGCTCGCCCGCACCGCACGCACGCACGCACCCACGCACCCACGCACCCACCCACACCCACACAGACATACTCAAACACGCACGCACGCTGCACGCACGCACGCACGCAAACACGCACGCCCGCCCGCCCGTACGCACGCACGCACGCACGCACGCCCCCCCCCCCACCCACACATCCACGCACGCACGCACGCACGCACGCACGCACGCACGCACGCACACACACACACACATAAACAAACACACACACACACTTTTGATCTGCAGGGCGAGAGCGAGCCTCTTCCGCTAAAAGCTCCGCAACACACACACACACACACGCACACGCAAACGCACACGCACACGCACACGCACACGCACACGCACACGCACACGCACACGCACACACACACACACACACACACACACACACACACACACACACACACACGCAAAAGACTGCATCACATTCTCGCGCCATACGCCTTGGTCCTTCAATTTCGGCCTGCGGGCAAAATGAGAGACAGGTGAATAGTCAACAGCAAGCATAACTCATTATTGCCGCTGTCGTTGTCGTAATAGTAGGTTGTTCCTCTCCATTTCCTCTTACTTCCTCTTCCTCGCCCTCGTTCTCGCCTGACTCGGCGAACCCCTCCCGCCATCCTCAATTTTTGTTTTGCGGAGGCCCCTCCGTCTGGGGGGCCCGCGAAACCTATTCAAGGGTTTCTCGGGGGGTCTGGAGGCCTCATGGGCGGCTTTTGGGGTTCTCTGGGGGCTTCCTCGGGCCACTTTGCTGACAATCAATCTCCTTCAACGACCTGTTCATAATTTGGAATGCTTCTGGGGGCGTCTTGGGGCCAGCTTCGGCCGTCATAGAGATCTCTTCGGGCCATCTTGAGCCGTCTTGGCGCTCTCTTAGACTGTCTGCAAACTTTTTATGATCATGTTAAGACGAGTTTGAGGGCCTCTTCGGCGCGGGATGCCCGCTGGAGACCAAAGAACCGAATGTCAACAAGTCATGCAGCTTTTTACCTGGATATTGACTATCTCTGCAAAGTGTTCCGATGTAGTCTCCCTTTCCCCCGAAGGTAGGCTTCGCGAAGAAAGCTCAGGGGGCTCCGACAAGGCCATGGCTTGGAAGGAATGTTCCGTTAAGCGGGTAAGAGAGACATGCGCGGTAGGGAGGAGGCCAGCCGGCCGACGACGCGACGACGATGAGGGGGCGACCCCTCGGCGCACGCGCAAGCCAGTTCGCTCTATTTCCTATACCTCTCGAATCTGAATGGCTGCAGATAACCAATCAGCACAGCAGTGACGGTGGCAAGGGCAACAGGGTGGCGGTGCGGAGAGGAGCACATTTACTCCCCCCGCGGCGGGGCGAGAAGGCCCGCGTCGACGCACACCCACTCGGCCTGTGCATTTACACACCCATCGGGAGCCAAGCCCACAATATAGCTTTTACAGCTCAACCGAAGATGCCGAGGGGCGATGGGCCGAAGCAGCCCGACGTGCCCCGCCCGAGCTATAGCTAATG